AGAGAGAGAGAGAGAGAAGTGGTGAAGTAAAGGCCGCCGCAGCAAACAAAGTGCCTGTGTGTGCCTGCACGCAAAGTAATGACCAGACAATCCAAACAGACACAACACGCAGAATCCATCCACATGACATGAAACCCCAATCTCTGCCCCACCCACTTCCAGCACTGCCAGAAGCAACAAGGCATTGTCGCCTGCCTCTTCGCATTTGCTTTTCCCCGCCTCCGTTTGTTTTTTGCTTCTTATTATTATTGGCTTCCTTCAACACCCCGCCACCGCTGTGATGGGGCTGCCGTTGACGTACGCTCCATTCAGCGCCGCCACCACCGACGCCACAAGCTCGCTATCCCGCGGCAGCTCCATTACCACCACGCCACCCGCACCGCCTACTTCGTAAAGCCCCAAACGAAGACAGTTGTCTGCGCTTCTGCCAGCCAGCGGTGCCCCTACACCCGTCGTCGCAGTCTCGCAGAGAGACTGCCGTAGCACCGCCGCGGGGCGGAAAACGCTTAATGGACGCTGCCCAACGAGCTGCTCCAGCATGGAGCTCAGGTGGCACGGCTGCACCCCCAAGTCCACCCCGTACAACACAACGCGAGTTGATGGAACTGTGGCGCTGCCTGTCCCACCGCATTCCTTCTTCTGGTCCTCGTGCTGCAACCTTCGACCGCTGTTTACGTCGCCATTCGCATCGGCATCGCAGGGGCCACGACCCCGATAGGAGGCAAGTTGAGAGTCCAAGGCGGAAAAAAGTTGTTGCTGACGCCGCTCTGCCGCCGTGGCGGCTACAGGCCGCGAGACACCCTCCTCGTTGTGTGTTCGTCGCTCTGTAGCGTGTGGCTCTTTGTCCCCCCGCCGCCACTGCTCCTGCTGACGCTGAGGATGACGTGTGTCACGCCCGCGAGATGATGACGCGGAGCGGCGACGGTGACGGTGTCGCCGATGCGGCGAAGACTCCCATCGCTGCCGTGTGCGACGATGATGCAAATAATCCTGCTGATCCTCCCAAGTTCCACTGGGCACACTAGTGTCACTCGCACTGTCATAGTCCGCACGACGGCCGCGACTGCGTTTGCGACGTCGTTCGTGACGACCACCAGGGCGCGTCGTAGCCCCCCTAGTGCCTCCGCTACTGTGGCGGTGGTGGTGGGTGCCCTGGTGGTCATAGGGGTGTCTCCTGTCATCATGCTTGTAGTCGTCATAGTCCTCCTCTGCAGCCACGTGGCGGGAGTCTCTGTGGCATGGCGCCCACCTTCCACCGCCGCCACCGCCTCTACTACTCCCTGGTGAATCAGCTCCACGCTTCCACGCAGACATCACACGCCACGGCGGGAGACTGCTATCCCACCCCCCACACACACGCACGCACGCAACACGGCACCACTATGGTGGAAACAACAACAACAACAACAACACAAAGCAACTTTTTTTTTTTTTTTTAGTCAATAAAACCGCACCCGATGCACAAGAGGCAAGGGCAGAGTCACAGTTAGAGATATACGTCAAAAAAAAATAACTACATATCTTTGTATGTATACAAACATATAATAAATGTGATTAGTCTTAGCCTTTTCCATGTCTTCTCACACCCTGTCTTATTTCCCCCCTCTTTTTTTTTATTGTGCTTGGCGCCTGAGGGCAGCGGGCCCCACTTTTGCCTTCGCATTCATTACAGCTGGACGTTTTGTGCGCGGTGCCGTCATCAGCGGCAGCTGCGGTGTGTAACATGTGTTATCCCCTTCCGTGTCTCCAGTTTCTATGATGTCCTTCTGAAGGGCGTCGATCTCCGCATGCATGCTGCGCACATGCTCCTCCGCTGGCTCCTCGTCCTCGTCCTCACTCGGTGGCGATTGCTGCTTGCCCTCCGTCAGTGGCACCTTTCCACCGGCGCGTTTCACATGGCTCTTAGGACGAAACATACGAAGAAACCCCTTAAATTTATTCACAACCACATGACTTGGCACATCTGTGCCACCCCAACCCTTTTCAACATGCGTTGTATTCATCTCCTTATGCACTTCATTGTCCACCGCCGTCGGCTGCTGCGCGTTTACTACTTCTTCACGCTGCTGCGGTTGCGGCTGTTGTGGTGCCTGTGGTTTTTCCTCTGGCTGCTGCCGCAGCTCCGGTGAAACCTTGGGCGCCCCGAGTGAAGGCGGCCTGAAGCCGTGGTTCGCGAAGAACGGGTGCTGCAGCGCCTGCATCGCCGTCAGCCGCTTCGAGCTGTCCTGCTCCAGCATGCGCACAATCAGGTCCTTCGCCTCTTCGCTGATGCCGTCCCAGCACTGCTTGGTGCGAAAGAGCACCCAGCGATCAATGCGGCGCAGCAGCTGCCGTCGGTCCTCGCTCGACGTCACCTGACCGTGAAACGGGGGTCGGCCGGAGAGCATGATGAAGAGCACAATTCCGGCCGACCACACGTCGACGCTCTTGACGAGTTCCTGCGTGGTGCAGAGGGGCTTCGTGCCTTGGGCCTCAATCCCGCGTATCACCTCCGGCGCGATGTAAAAGGAAGTGCCGCAGGGCGTGGACTGCACATCCCACTTCTTCACCAGCTTGGCAAGGCCGAAGTCTGCCAGTTTCACCTCAATATTTAGCAACTTCTCCCAGTCGCCCTTCATGATAATGCCAGGTTTCTTTCTGGACAAGGCGGATTCACAATTGCCTTGCTTTTTCGAAATATTTACCAGGATATTCTCCGGCTTGATGTCGCGGTGGACGATGCTTTGGCTATGCAGGAAGGCAATACCGCAGAGCAGCTGGTACATGATGCAGCGCGCCCCTCCCTCCGGAATGAATTTATTGCTAAAAATTAGTGCAAAGAGATCGCAGTCCATTAAATCCAGCGCAAAATAAACGTGATGCGGAGTGGTGATGACCTCGTGCAGTTTTACAATGTTTGGATGGGAGATGCGGCGAAGAATTTCACGCTCATGAAGCACCATCTCCGCCACCCTTCCCCGCAGCATCTCCTTCCTCATAACCTTCAGTGCACGCTTGGTGTTCGTGGGACGATGCAGCACGGAAACCACATCCGAGAAGCCGCCTTTCCCCACCAGCGTGGCGTTGTCAGCGTCGTACATGTCGCGGACGTCAACCGACTCCACAACAGGGGTGACCGGCACACGCATGGGGCTCGGCACAGTCATCCGCGTATCTCCGCTTACGTGCACTTATGTGTATGCGTACGTATGCGCCCTCCCTCCTGTGAACGGGAACAAAAAAGGCAAGTTCAACGCCTCCCCCGTTTATTCTCTCTCTCTTCGTCCCTCCCACACGCAAAGTAGACACACGAAGCAAAAGAGAAAAGAAATAACACGCAAGCAAAGAGACAAAATCAAAAAGAAAAGAAGCAGGGCAAAGGGATGCATCTGTCAGGTGAATAAACGAGGGGCGCTGAATTTATTGACTCAAACGCTTCTTATGCCTCTGCCCGACTCACCACACCGCGTTCAGCCTGCCCCCCTCCACGTCAAGAGAAGCCATTCTATGGTGCGCCCCGACCCCTCCACATTTTTTTTTTTTTTTATCTTTTCGTATTGAAAGCGCAGGAACACAACAAAAACAAAAGGTATGTGAGTGAGGAAGATAACGCTTAACACAAGAAACAAACAAAGAAGAGCCGTAAAACTAAAAATAAAATAAAAGGAAAAGGGAAATTGACTTCGCGTGCTCATGGGGGTGCACACCGTCAAAGACCATAGAGCGGCCCAACGTGGAGACTGTTCAGCCAATATACCTCCATCGCAGACCGAGAACTCCCCCTCCACTTCCTTCGCCGCATTGCTGCTTGTTTTCACCTACCGCTGACTCTTTTACTGCCCGTTTTTCCTTCACCGCTCCCATCTCCACCCTTCGTGCGGCGCCCCCACGCCGGGGGGCTAAGTGGGAATAAAAACAAACGCAGACGCACGCGGGCCATGGACCTCGCAGCGCATCCGTTTCAGCCCCCACCATGCTCTCCCCACACCCTTCACAGAAGCACGGCGAGGCGCACGGACACACGGAGGGAAGGAACGGCAAAACGGTGGATGAACAGGCAAAAAGAAGAAAACAACAGCAGAAAAAAACAAACAAACAAACAAACAAACAAGGAAAAAATTCTTCAGATCTAATAGGAATTTCTCGGAACCCTGCTGGAGTGTACGGCACCCTCGTCATCCGCGTTCCACCATGCACGTACGCATCTGCGCGCAACCACACACTCTGAGAGACCCTCTCACACGCACAGAGAGGGACAGAAGCATGCGTGGGCAGACGATTGCGTGAGTGCAGGCGAAGGCGGACCCTCGAGGTCGCTCCAGAGCCGCATTTTCAGATATGTGGGCGGGGTGACAAACAAACAAACCAAAAAACAAAGAGACAAAGCGTACAAAAAAAAAAAAAAAAAAAAAAAACAATATCCCAAACATTCCCCACCGTCCTCGTCAAGCAATGGCCTTTACACATTTAACAAAGGGTAAACTAGAGAGAAAGAGAGACTGGCTGTGGGTGGTAATCGGGGAAAAAACAAACAAACAAAACAAGAAGAATACGCTATCCTTCTCCTTCCCAATTCAAATTGCATACACATTACTCGGGCGCATACATGCGTGTCTGTCCACACACATATAAGTGTGTAGTTGCGTGGGTGTGAGTGTAAACATATACCACTTGTATCCGCTCGTTCCACGCCTCACTATGGGTTCACAGGCAGCAATACTTTTTATGCCTGACAGCGACCCTCTCTCTCTCTCCCGCCTCACCCCTCTCCCAAAGATTCCCAGGCGTGGACAGACACACACGGCAGCTGCCACCACGACAACCACGCCCCGTTCCCACACACTCACACGGCCCTTTCTTCCTTCTCTCTTCAGTCACCACTACCAGATTTACCCCTTATTTCTGTTCCAGGCATAAGGTCCCCTCTCAGTGCATGGGGCTGCTCCACCGCACAACGGCCGCTGCCACAAGTGCCTCTCCACCACCACGTCTCCTGCACGCACGTATGCCCGCATAGAAACGCGGAGGGGGGGAAATTAAGAAACGAGAGGCGGCAGCAGCGGTGGGGAAGTGAAGGCGCTCGCGGCAGCGGCCGTAGCACGTCAAGTAACACAAAGAACACATAAACACTGGGTGCGGAATTAAGGAAAGATAAAAAAAAAAAACAAAAAAAACACACACACACATTAACAAAAAAAAAAAGAAGAAAAGGGGAAATCAGCAAACAAGAACAAACAGAAGAAAACAGAAAAACAAACAGCTCACACACAGAGATATTGACTACGGTGCCTCTGTTCCATTCTCCACATCTTCCATGGGCGGTTGTTCTTTGGAGTGTGCCTTATAGGGCGTTGTTGGCTGGCGGTTATCCTCCGAGTCACTACCAATGCTGCTACACGCGGAAAGCTCAGCGTCATCATTACGGAATGCGTAGCAATCGGGTGACTGTGTTATTTCAACGTAGGATGCACAGCCATCTTGGTTTTCAATGGAGTCCAAGTAGCTGCAGCACGTGTGTCCATAGCCGCAACAACAAAGTGGCTCTGTCGTACCGGGCAGCGTCCCCAGCGCCGGTGCTTGGCTGTAGAGACGGTTTTGCAGTGGAAGAAGGTCGCAAGCGTAGGGGTTGTGCGTGTACTGTGTCGCGGGTGCCGCTTTCCGCATCCTGTGGCGCAGGGCGCCGTTACGCGGGGCCGCATAGAAGTACGCCGGTGCGGCCCGTCGACGCCGAAACGCGCGAATGGCCTCTTCTGTAACGAGGCCGTCATGGAAGTTCATCTCCGGTGTCCGTAGCTCATGTGCGCCGTGGGCGAACATACACCGCCACCCGTACAGACACATCCCCGTTTCCATGTAGTTGCGACAAAACTTCGTCTTGTAGCGTTCCGCCAGGATGGGCCTCGCCGCCTGCTCGCCCTCCCAGGAGGAGGCGCCCACGTAGTTCAGCATGTCCGCATCCTCCGTGAGGCTCCAACAATGTGGGGATGCAGCGGGCATAAGTTGTGTGGCATACACGCTCGTCATGATTCCAATAAGGCAAGATACGCACAAACAAAAAAAAAGAACAACAACAACAAGACACACACGACAACCGTCACCACAATATATATTAATATATATATAAATATATATATATTAATATACAAATATAGTCCTTGATCCTTTTTTTTTATATCTTGGTCTGCGATCGCTCCTTTTTTCTAAGTTCTACAAATAATGGCAGTTGTGGTGCCGCAGGCAGCAGAAGAACCAAACACAAAGAAAGAAAGAAAATTACACCTGCAGAATCTCCGCACTCCCACACACGCAAGTTCATGTCGCGAGGCCACTCCCAAACCCCCTCGGCCTCGCCCCCCGTTTCCCTTCGACAGCCACACCAACAGGCCCCCGCCACTGCGTCAAAGCAGCAAGCAGCACCCACCATGCACCTCCTTCATAAGCCTGCACCACAAAAACCGTAAAAACGGCACCACCCAAACCACAGCCCCTCCCACCGGAACCAATAAGCCAGCAACCAACCAGCAAACCAGAAACGAATACACATTTACCACCACTACCTCCAAAAAAAAAAACATTATATCACAAGACCATCTGCCACCCCCATAAAACACACAGAACATCCAACAACCTCAAAAAAGCAAACACAACATCCTCCCAGCAAACGATAATCATAATCAACCCAAACTACCCACAGCGCCAATATATATATATATATATATATATACATTATAGCTAATAGAAGGTGAATGGCCAACAACGTACAAAATCCATTAAGAAACTATCCGGCATTCACAAAAAAATAATAATAAAAAATAAATAAAACCGCGTCAACATCTGATAATCAAAAACACAAACAACATACAACGCAATTCACCTAAAACATACAAGTAAAAAACAAACAAACAAACAACAACAACTACTAATGCCGCAAAAAAAATTTTTTTCCGGCCTTGTACGGAATGTGCTGGTGCGTGCGGGGGTCCCGATACTTCTTGGCGAGGCCAAAGTCGACAATGTAGACGTGGTGCCCCTTCTTCCCGGTGCCCATCAGAAAGTTGTCAGGCTTAATGTCGCGGTGAATGACGCTCTTGCTGTGGACGAACTCGATGCGCGCAATCATTTGCTCGGCCAGCAGCAGCGTGGTCTTCAGCGAGAGTTTCCTGTCGCAGAAGCTGAACAGGTCCTCGAGTGAGGGCCCCAGCAGGTCCATCACCATCACGTTGAACTCGCCCTCCACGCCGTAGAACAAAATGTTGGGGATGCCCACGACCCCGCCGCCAGCGTTGAGGATGCGGTAGAATCGGGCCTCGAAGGCGAGCTGTGGGTGCCGCGTCTTCACCTGCTCCAGCTTGATGGCCACGGGCTCGCCGGTCTGAATGTTTG